GTGTGTGTGTGTGTGTGTGTGTGTGTGTTTCCTGCAGCCTGTCAGTGTAATGGTCACAGCAGGTGTGTGAACGGCAGCGTGTGCGAGCGCTGCGGGAACCTGACGGCAGGGACGCACTGCCAGAGCTGCATGCCCGGTTATTATGGAGACCCCATCAACGGAGGGAAATGCAACGGTGAGTGAAAAGGTTGACGAGGGTTCGTGTCTGCTGTTCGTCCTCTGGTTTGATCTTAACTCAGCTCGACTCTCGCTCAGCATCACCGAACCGACGATGATGTGAGGAACAGAGTGAGTCCAGTCACGAAGACATTTAGTCCTGAGGATTAGCGGTCGAGGATAGATTGAGTCTATTAAGGAGCCTAACGATGAAGTACGTTGTGTCTTAATTTGACAGTGACACATTAATACGACAGGAAGAGAGAGTAGAAGACTCCTGTTCCCGGTGCTGTGCTCCCAAAGCCTCCAGATACCTGGTCGCTCCTCCTCTTTAGTTCGTGGTCCTCTCCTTCAGCTTGGTGCGCTAATCACTCACAGTCAAGTACGAGCTATTGATGGACGACAGTTATGGTTGATAATAATAATACGAGTATTTCTACCGACGTTTCTGGAAACAATATGGAAAACACTACAAACTCTTAAAACTCTTAAAACATTTTTGTGATTTTCTGAAATTCAGACCAGGGAAGCAGAATGCATTGTGGGAAATGGATTTTGTTTGTTTTTTGAGTGTGTTGGCACAAAGAGAGTCCCGTTTGAGACGACGGCCGAAGTCACAACAGTTACAACCACGACAATTTAGTTTCACACACAGACATTCATGAGGCTGCTGCTCAACAAGAATCAGGCTGAGGAGGAGGAGGAGGAGGAGGAAGAGGAGGAGGAGGAGGAGGATTATAGTTTGGAGGTAAAGATTGACGCATTTATTTCTCAGCATCTGAAGCAGAAACACGAACCAAAAACCATTTCAACCTTTGGCTTCTTCTTAATGAAAAGAAATAAACAGTCATTTAAATTAACCGAACGGAAAATGATGATAAATGTTCTTGTTGTTTCTGCAGCGAAGGAAACTATTGATCCACGGATCGAAGATTTAAGCTGTTAAATGTTTCTCTTTGCTTCAGAAGCTGAGAAATTAAGGTTTTATTCAACTTCAAGTTTTTCTGGACGAACCCTCAGGTTTTAGGAAGTTGTCTTCAAACAGTACTTCATATTTAAAGTACTTTTCTTTAGTTCTGAGTAGATTAAAAAATAATTAAGATTTATAAATAGAGAGACAGAAATGTATTGTSTTTTTAATCTACTCATCATCTGCTGTTCATGCTCTGAATTCCCGTAAAACAAACTCTGTAATGAACCCAAACAACCTGATGGGGGCAGTGTTTAAGAGCTCTGAGTCCCAGTGTCGGCTTCTGTGAGAGTTTCTGGAGGTCGTCGGAGAAGTGGAACAGAACACAGGAATAAAAACTGTGGTTTGAGAAGGTTTGTGGCCTGAAGACGTCGAGGGGAACTGAATGAAAAGCTGCTTTGAGTCTCTGCTTCTGTTTCTCGTCTTCTCCGGAGGATTCTGATTCTCTCAGCGCGGCTCACACGCCTCACGTGTTTCTGAATCCGACAGCAGCTTCTGTTGTGCTTCCTTTTGTTCCGTATTTAAATCACACCGTTGAACGCTCACGACAGATAATCTGTGTAAATCAGACGACTGCTGGACTGTGAGAGAGCGAGGGGGGGGAAGGATGGAGAGAAAGAAGGATGGATGGAGATAGGGATGGATGGATGGAGCGAGGGGAGGTGCAGCAGCGTCAGTGTCTCTGACAGATGTGCATTTTAGCTTGACGGCAGCATATGACATTAAATCGCTCTTAATCATTTTCTTATTTCCGGAGTTGACTGGTGTCTCCGTCTCTGATAGATGCTCGTTGTACATGACGGCCTCATGATGCTCTCATTTTATCTCTCTTTTTTCACTCCATCCTCTCATCTGTCTCTCTGTGGTTTTGTCTTTTTCCTATGCTCTCCATCCCCTCATTTCCTTTCCTTTCCTCTCACCTCCTTTTCGAAGTGTTTCCTTTCCTTTGTTGTGCCCTTTCTTTTCCTCCACTCTACTAATGAGTCCTTTTCTTTTCTCACCCCTTCTTTTATAATCTTTCCTTTCTATTTCAGTTCACCTCCTCATACTTCTCCCTCTTTCCTTAATTTCCTCTTTTGTATTTTTCTCTTCTTTTGATGTCCTTTCTTTTCCCTCCTTCACCTCCGCACACTTAACAATCAACCTCTTAATTTCTCTGTCACTCTCTCCATACCTCCGTCATTCCCTCTCACAGCTCATAATAACTCTGTCTTTAACTACCCCCCTCTCTTCATCCCTCCATCAGTCCATTCTGTCTCTTTCCTCCTCCATCTCTCTGTATTTCTCTTTATAAAAGGAACCATTAGATTTACCTTGGGCTAAACGGCCGGGAGGTGATGATGTGTGGCCGATTAGAGACGTGAATGATGGAGAGGCATCACCAGAGGGAGGAGAGAGGGGCTGTAAAGAAGATGGAGGAAGAAAGGAGGAGACGGACGAAGAGAGAGAGAGAGAAAGAGAGAGAGAGGGAGGAGGAAACAGAGACGGGCAGATGGAGAAAGAAAAAGTGATGAAAGCCTGTGGTGAGATGCACAAGGTTAATATCAGTTGCTCTTGGATAGAGAGAGGATGAGGGAGGGATGAATAGAGAGAAAGAGACGGAGGACAGACAGAGGAGAGTCTGTCTGTCCTCATGTCCCCGTGACAGATGATTAACTAACCCTGTCAAATGTGTGTGTGTGAGTGTGTGTGACCCTCTTCTCACTGGGACTGAAAATCAAACACTAAACTTCTGAGCTGCAGCTGACGACACGTTGGACGTTTGTTCGTCAGAGGACAGGACGTTTGCTTCAGGGCACATCAACAGTAGTTCTGCAGGACGAGAGTTACGATGCCTTCAGATGTCCCACGCTGTCAGACCAGGTTCTGCAGAAATGACAGAATTCCCCTTTAACACATGTTGAATTTGTTAAATATCAACCACTGACCCGATTCCTCTCATCTGCTTTCAGTTCAAATCTCTCAATAATCCTTCAGCTCGGCCTCAGCACCGCGCCCCCAACACGCTGCCCTGTGAATTGTCTTCCAGGCAACACTTTAGCTTGTATTATTTCTCCTCCCGCTTGTTATCTTTTTGCTGTGAGAGTCTCAGCGTATAATGCTCCTTCGCCACCGGCACCTCACCCCCCAACAGTTTTATTGCTTCCATAAATTTTGCATGATTCACATCAGTAGCTCCCTGACTCCATCTCGCTCTGATTCTCTCTCTCTCTCTCTCTCTCTCTCTCTCTCTGCTCGTCTAAGAGGACTCTCCGTCTTGCTGCTCGCGTGAGACGTAAAAAAACACGGGTCAGAGGTCGCTGTCGGGTCTTGAGGACGTTTTGTCACTCACATCCTTCATGTCTCGCAGGTTCAGCTCAGTCCAGCGAGTGATTCTCGTGGAGCTGCACAAGATTTGTAGTGTTTCTCACTGAGATGAATAAAAAACAAGATCAAATGATTAAAGAATAGAAAACTCGTTATCACTGAATGTTATAAAGTCATTAAAGCAGAGAGAGAGAGAGAGAGAGAGAGAGAGAGGAGGGTTTGATATGAACTGTGGAGGATTTGTTTTTCTAGATCTGTAGCTTTAGCTCAGAACATCAAGTTGATTCTTTCTGTTTACTCGTCCCAGGCTGTTTAAAATATCTGGAATTACTTTGGATAAATAAATAAAGTCACTTGCACAGAACACGCAGGTCATTTGTAGCATTTGAACGAACCAGCGGTGCTCTTGTTTCTCGGTCTGGTGATCTGTCATGCGCCTGCACATCTTGTATTGTTCTCCTCTCTTCCCTCCGTCTCTCCTCCTCTGTGCTCGTGTCCCTGGTCTCTGGGACTTGATGTACAGCCTCTGCACAGGGTGCAACAGCGGGAGATGTTTGTAAATCTGTGTTGAGTGCAGGAGCTGCAGAGATGCTGAGTGGCGTCTCTGCGAGAAACTGGCAACCCAGCAGCAGAGAGTGGGACGAGCAGGACAGCAGGGTGTGTGTGTGTGTGTGTGTGTGTGTGTCTGTCTGTCTGTGTGTGTGTGTGATGGATCAGACAGCTGTTGAGCTTTAGCAGAGAAGAGATGCTGCCTGCAGAGTCTTATTCATACAGCCGTCGCTGCCACATATCCTCTCACCTGTTGTGTGTGTTAGTGTTAGAGTGCGTGCGTGCGTTCATTCTCGCGTTCTTAAACGTTCTTGCGTGTGACCGTGTACCTGCTGAGCACCTGTGGTGGAATTGCACGGTACCCAGAATTCTCAGCAGTATCCAGTGTTCCTCGTCTGACCGCCAGACCTACTGACGCACATCGAGTGTAACACACAAACACAAAGCCACACAAACATTTCTGTAAATAAGATTTAAACGGCCTTCAAATCCTTTCTGATCTCCAGTCAGAGCAAATAGTTCTTTTGAAGTCCGCGACTCGAGTCTCGTCTGGAGGAAGCTGCTCTTTCTCGGTTTCTTCGCGGCTCAGAGCTCAAGCTGACATTAAACGCACATTTAATAAAACGAGCTCTTGTAATCTAGTCTGTATAGATCTGTTAGCAGATGGAACATGAACCCAATCATCGATTTAAATCCTCGAATTAACCAATTAATTACGCCGACTTTGATCAGTGGGAGGAAGCTGAAGAAACAAAAGCAAAGCCACGAGGCGACGGTGCAAACCACTGTTCCACCGTGCCACCCTATAGTAACACGTGCAGTGAGACATTTTCTAAGGTCGATAGTTCACTGACCAGATTCTGCTGAGGGAGGGAAACTCAGAACTGTTTGATGTTATTAAAATCCTTTTTTCCTCTTTGTATGCAAATATCAGTGCGTGTGTTCACATGCATTTCACTTCTTACGTCTCTTTGCTTCGTGGCTCCTCAGCCCTCTTCCTCTGCTCCTCATTAAAACCAAGTCAAAATCAAGTCCGTCCTCTCTTATCTGAGCAAACTGCCCACGGACACAAAGAAACAGCCGCAGTCAGCTGAAGGTGGAAGGTGACATTGATGATGAAGATTTAAAATAACATTCCTGGATTGATCACGATGTGGGGGTCGCTGCTGCGCTGTTATTTTACTCTCAACATCATTATCATGTCATTTTATTTGTTTATTCTAGAAAATTAAAACTTTAAAAATGGATTAGAACGCACTTGTTGCTACAGCCTCAGCTTCTAACATCTTGAGTCGATGTGAAACAGCTGAGAAAACAAGTGTGTGAGACAGAGGCTGAAGAGAGGAGCTGCAGCGATGGACAGTTTGAGAACAGGGACGTGTTTCTGAACATTGGAGCATGTGAACATTTTCCAGGAATAACATTAAGTAGAATTATCAACCCTGAACATCTCCCCCAGTAAGTACTAATGTAATTTACTATTTTTCATGCTGCAGCACATTTGAGCTTTCCAGTGTTTGGCTGTGACTAGTGTTAAAAACAGAGGACAAAAACATTTGACCTTAACCATGATCATCAGATGCACATGTTCTCGTTTGGCGAGTGGGCTGCAGATCTCACACTGATGCTTTTAAACCTGATAAATACAATTTGTGCAGAAAACAAGACAAGGAAGCCGCGGCTGTAGTTAATTAGCTGCTTCCTGCCTGTGTGGAGCCTCTTGAATGTAATATTAGAACATGTCAACACTTTGAGGTCTAACACAGATGTGCGCTCACACGTGGCGGTCACACGGGCATGCAGACACACTTGTTCTCTAACATGTTCATGCAGACTGTGACCTGCGGGCCAATCAACACGTGTGTCAGGTGTGAAGATGATGCACAATAGCATGTTTTTTTTTCAGTCCGCACATTAGAAGCGCTATGTCACATAAAGTTCATGACCTCTAATTAAACTTTCAACCAAATTTCACCTGCGTGTCCAACAAAAACAGCTAATATCCAGTGAAACGAGGGACCAGGACGTCATTCAGCGTCATTAAGAAAACACTATATAGTGAATTATCTGGTTTGTTTTGGTATCTTTTAACTTCTTGTCTTCTTGTGCATTTCTCATTTGCATGTAAACAGAGTTTTCAGATAAAGCAGCGTTAGAGGAGGAGGCTTCACATGACGTTCTGGGCTCGACTGCACAAAACACTTCTGGAGAAACTTATATCATCACAAGACCTCTGAGTTTCTTTTTTTCCTGCACCCATTAAGTTTCCTTGAGTTTTATAAGTGCTCACCCCTCGGGAATAAGACGCCGACTGTAGGAACAGATAACAGGTTCAGAGAGGATTATTCTCTAATGTTTTCTCACTGACTTATTTCCTCATCTCTGACGGAAACACACACACACACACACTCAGAGACGGCCTCGTTCCCTCCTACACACTCACACATTCAAACCCACCCTGACAACAGGCATCTTTTGTGTTGTGTGTACATGCAGAGGCAGTGGGGTGAGAAATTGTATTCTCTTCAGGGGTCGTGCGTGAGTCATGGGAAATATGATTTATATCAAATCAGCCTTTTTTTTTTTTTTTTTTTTGCGAAGAGATCAGGTTTCTTTTTATTGTGGCTCGTTTCTGTGTTGTCAGCAAGTGATGTGCTCTCGCTCCCTCGTCCACTTCATTCACTCCTCCTTCCTCCTCCTCCTCCTCCTCCTCCTCCTCTTCTCCCTGATTCTCCTGCTGCTTCCATCCTTCTGTGCTCTCACTGAATCGAGTTAGCTTCCTCTGGGCACTCGGAATGCGATTGTGTCTGTGCACCAGTCGGATGAGTCAAGTGTTTATTTTTACGTCGAGGAGCTCCACGTTTAGAAAGAGCGTCTGAAGGAATGGATTTATTTTTCATTCGAAACAGTCGATGACAGTACAACTTACAATGTACAGCTCTATATTCACTTTGACTTAAAGAGAAGACTGAGCTAATGAAAAAGTGATTTCATGTGACCTGTTATCTGTCTGGTGCCTCAGTGTTCCTGTGAATATTGAACCTTCACTGTAGAACGATGCCACCTCGCTGACAGCTCAGAGGAAACTCCGGTCTGTGAACCTCGGACCGTAAAACATCCTGCGGCAGCCTCCAGGCCCTGGTTTACTGCTTCGGACACTTTTACACAGAAAATGAAATGCGAAACACGGAGAGTGACGAGACGAAGCGTGTGTAAACCAGAGAGGCGGCTTTTGAAGAGAGAAAATGAGATTTAAAAAGTTAGGATCCACCGTTTGGAGCCGTCGTTACCTCTGTGATTAAAGGACTCGTGTGTCGGCCGCATATGAAGGAGCCTTTGAAATGTGACGTTCTAGTCGCGCCGCTGTGATTTAATCGATGTTCAAACGCAGCCTCCGCAGGTTGTGACTCTGTGAGCTGTGTCTCTTATCACATTTAACTTTACCAAGATTCTTTCCTTGTGTTTTTGGGACAGTGAAAGTAAAGCGATGGCGCTCAGAGTCCGACGCTTTACGTCCTGATCAGTTCAGTTCTTGGGATATTGATGTAAAACAGTAAAACAGTAACTTCTGGAGCGTTTATATATATATTTATATGTTTAAGACAAAATGATTGAGTTAGCTCAGATTTAACTGTTCAGTTCAATATCAGGTTTGACTCTAGCTCAATATTTTTCCACAAAGATTAACACCGTGACAAATTCAATGTATGTGGCCCTGAGCTAGATCGTTATTGCATCAGAGATGTGAGTGTGTTTCCCAAATCAATCCTTGATTTTTTAGCAGTTGTAACTCGTCGGTATACGACTGGAGAGGAAACGCTGCAGCAGCTTTACACTCCGACACTCATCAGAGAGCAGAGCTGGTCTGAGACTGAGAGGCAGCGTGCTGTTTGCTGCTGAGGGGATTATCAGGTTTCATGTTTGTTTGAAGAGAGGGGAAGAGTTTATGTTCTCTCTCTGAGATTCAACTTCACACATTGACTGGTGTTCAGATTGTTTTCTATCTGATCAGTGTTTTCATTTATCCCATAATGAGGCCTTTGACTTCACAGTTCTCAGACTTGAACACAAATGTCTGGAAGAATTATAAGTTGTGTAGTCAGTGTTTGTCCTGTGAAGCAGCAGAAGCTCTGGAGTCTCCTCGTCTTTCCAAGTTGACGTCTTCGTCTTCTACGTGTACGGCTCCTCTTATATATATTCATATTCTTCTAGTGTCACGTGTTAGAAACCTCATCAACACGTCCACTCGTTCGGACAGTTGTGCAGAAAATTTCAGATAAAAAAGACATTTCTGTGCAGGTCTGAGAGCAGCGAAATCTTATTGCTTTGAATTTCTTCTTCTGTCTTTTTTTGTGTCTCCGAGCGCATTTCTCCAAACTCTGTCCTTTGTTTGCCTTTGTCTGTCTTCGAAATGAAAAGTGTGTGAACCGCAGGGCGAGCGGAGCGGCCACCAACACACCTGTGATTTGTCCCTTTATTTAAAAGCCACTTTTTCTCTTATCTGTGAAGCCATTACACTTCAATATCTGTGGGAAGGTTTTCCCTCGACGGTAAATGTAATTTCAAGTAATGGACTGAAATTGTATTTTTTGCGGATGTTATTGTCGCCTCCTCTGCTCCCAGCACGTCTGATTTCAAGTGGAAAAACATCGATTCCACTTTGAACCTATTGAAATTTAAACGCTCCAGCGTGAAACCTTGGTTTTCTCTTGCCGTGTGTGTGTCTGAATATTTAAAGCAGCGTTTACGTCTGTTAACTTGTTTTTGTTCTGTGTGAGCAGTAGAATCAGCTTCTCTCTCCTCAGCAGGGGAGGTTTGTTTTCCTCTCATTATCTTGGCTTTACCTTGACCTGAGAACAACACTGTTCTATTACAGCTCCTGTCTCTGAGCCAATTGGAAAGAAGAATGAACAAAGCACAAAGTCAGTTCAGTTGCAGAGGGACGCAGGACAGAGTGTGGACGTAACACACACGGAGGTTCTTGTTCCTCGTCGGCCATCTTTATTCCCAGTCTCTGCTGAGGCCTCACATTGACATCACAACAAAAACAGAGAGCAGTAACTTGAATTCTTCATGTAGACACGACGGTTTTATTCTAAGACAAAGAAACAGGAACTTCTCCTTCTGCAAAACATTGTCCTGAAACTCAGTTTCCTGTTGGAGGAAGCACGTTGTGAAAATAATGTGTTTTAAGGTTAGTGGAGGTAAAAAGGCATCGAGTTCAGTTTTGCAGTAGACGAGTGAAACGTCTCTGAACCTGTTGAGTGAGAATGACTCAGAGCAACAGTCTGCCTCCTTTTTCTGAGAAAACCACGAGTGATCCGCTTCTTTTCTACTTTTCTGAACCTTTTTCCTCTGTTCTTCTTCTTCTTCTTCTTCTCCTTCAGAAACTGCTGGCTGCTGTAATTTGTCTCATACCAGATTTTAAGATCTAACTCGTCCTCTCTCTCTCTCTCTCTCTCTGTGTGTTTGCAGCGTGTAAGTGTAACAGTCACGCCAACGTTTGCCACGTCAACACGGGAAAGTGCTTCTGCACCACCAAGGGCATCAAGGGAGACCAGTGTCAGCTGTGAGTATTCCGTCACATCCCTGAAGATTTTCCGTATCCACGCCAGGTTGTTGTTTTTTTTTCGTGGAACGCCTTGAACGAGTAGAAACACACGCGACACAAAGACGGCAGAGCAGCGATGTTTTCAAATGTGACTGTGACGGCTTCATGATGCGTCGTTGAATTTAGGCGTCGATTTCAAAGTAAAGTTACATTTTGATTAAAGTTACAGGTTAAATAAAAAAGTCTCCAGGGTGCCAGAAGGATAGAAAGAAAATGATGAACAAGTGTGTGTATTTGTATTTGTTTGTGTATACAGTGTGTGTATTTGTTTGTGTATACAGTGTGTGTATTTGTTTGTGTATACAGTGTGTGTGTGTTTCCCCCTGACTGTGCCAGTACAGTACAATACCCTAAATGGCTTGGCAGAGCGACGCACCATAGAATCAGCCTGAAAATTGCTGCATCGATAAATCTAGGGGACGAGACTAGTAAGCAGAGACGGTGTGTGTGTGTGTGTGTGTGTGCATGTGTGTGTGCATGTGTGTGTGTGTGTGTTTCTGTTTTAATAATCAAATGCTCCGTCAGAAATAAGGGGCTCGTTAAGGTAAAGCAGCAAACATCAGGCTAATCCATTACTTGGTTTCCTTGTAGTTGTGTTGTCAGACTTTATATTCATATCTGTGTGTGTGTGAGTGTGTGTGTAATGTGCACACACACACTCACACACACACACACAGAGAACAGTAGCAGCTGTTGTACAGACAGGTAGATCAGAGTGTGAAGGTGACAGGTCAAGATTACTGGCTCACTCTGTGATGCTCACCAGATGTTATCCAGCTGTTTCACTCTGCTCATAGTAACACTTTTAATTTACGACTTTCACGAATAATTAATTGAAATTTCAACACGTGTGTTTTTTTTTTTTTCTGTTGAGGTTGAAACTGCACTTTATATAGGTCTCCGCTTCACGGCCCTCCCCGCCCCCGTTCTCGTCGCCTGACAGTTTGATTACGTTGATGCAGTTTTAATTGGACTCCTCCGTTTGCTGAGAACTCCACTAATTGACTTCTAATTTGCATCTTCTCACTCGATGTGACTGTGGAGTCTGTGTTTGTGCTTTTAAATGTTTGTAGGATTGAATGTTTGCAAAACAGGGTTTGGTTCACGATGGAGTTTTTCTGTGTTTTGTTTATGTCATCAGTGAAAACACACACACACACACACACACACACACACACACACACACACAAGCAGGGATCATGATGTCATCGTGACCTTTAATCTCCAGTCCCTCCGTCTTTCCATGGATTTAAAACGTGTGTGTGTGTGTGTGTGTGTGTGTGTGTGTGAGTGTGTGCGTGTGTGTGTGTGTGTGTGTGGACTCCCAGTGTGCTTTAAGTGAGGATGAGGTTGTCCAGTCCTCTGTGACCCTCGTCTTGTCCCCACTAGGTTTTTATTGTAAGCAGCTTAAGTGTCCATCCCTGGCTCTTTGTTGTCGCTGTGTCTCCCCCCCATGAGAGAAAACACTCCCCCATCAGTTCAGCCTCTTTAAGACGGCTCATCCCTCTTCCCCGCTGCTCGCCATGTTGGATTTAACACTGTCATATAGATAATTCTCGTTGGTCACATTTAAATTCACTACATCTGGATCTCACACAAATATCAACATCAAGATCCCTGAATTTTTTTCGGAGAAATCGAGGAAGATGAAACATCCTCAAACAATTCCTGGCTCCGCCCACCTGATCCAGCTCTGTAATTACGTGCATCTTTCAGGACTCACACCACATCCAGTAGTTTTGATATAATCTAGTTTACAACTAAACAAACGAGAAAACTTACAAAGGTGAAAACATATCGTCCTGTTGGAGGTAAAATAAATTGATTTCAGCTCCAGACTTTGTGTCTTTTATCTGTTTTATCCATTCGAAGCCACAACATAAGAATTACCGAGCGCTGCCGACGTGTGACCACATTCAGGAACCAAACTCTAGTTCTTATCAATCCTTTTAATATCTTGAACTGAGACTGAGTCTTTTTCGGACTCTTTGTCTTAGTGTTGTTGTGAACTTCAGATGCAGGGTGGAGGCTCGGCCGTGGTTTAAAACATCGTCCTTGGCCGGGGTTTTTATAGAAGGATGAAATATTCAGTGTCCAGCGCTGCTCTGTGACCTGCTGCTGCAGCGCTGCGAGAGAATTCACAAACACTCTGTGTTGTAAACCTCACACGCCCTCTGCTCCTCCTATTCCTCTTTTTCATTTTGTCTTTCTCCTCCTCGGTGTTCACTTTGTAGTTTTCTCCTCAACCTCCGGCTTTACCTCCCTGCTCCTCGTGTCCCGGATGATTTATCGTCCAGTTTTAGAAAAGCTTGCACAGGTTTTTTTTCCTCAGAATTTCATCCAGCTGTTGCAATGTCAATCAAAACATTTAGTATTTTCCTTTTGAAACTGCTCCAGATGCACACACACACACACACATACACACACACACACACACAGACACACAGACTATAATTTGAACTCCCTCGATGATGCAAACGTTCTTTAAAGACACGTTCAAAGCTCCGACATTATGATAATGATCACCGTCAATCCTCTCGTCACATTTTTAACATTTCTCTTCCATTGGGCTCAAAGTGGAAGTCTGGCTTTTGTTCTCCTCTGCCAGGCAATGATTTTCTTATCTGGTGTGTGAACTACCTCAGGTACACGTCAGGTCCATCGTGACACTTTAATGGGCTCTAAAACATGCACATCGTTCCTCCATGATAACTGGAAGAAAGAAAAAAAACCCTATAGCCCTGGTGTTTCTCTCTTTAATTACATTTGCTGAGTGTGAAAATGTACATTATTCTTAAGAGCCCTTAAGTTCCTGGCCCTTTGAAACCCCTGCAAATCCAGTTATGTGTGTATATTGAAATATTCATTTGGCTTCTACTTGGGAAAATCAATTTTTAAAAGCTAATTGTGTTGTGGTGAAGCTCACTGGTCATCAGAGACTTTCCCTCAAGCTAAAGGTCACAACTTCCAACCACAGCCAATTACTGTCCATCAGCAAACGTGAGCGTCTTTGAAAGATGCTCCGCCTCCGTCTGAAGAACAGAGGAGTGGCTGAAATGTCAAGATAAAAAGCAAATGAGAAGATGAGTGGATTCCAGTTTGACGCCAGTGACTGACAGGGGTCCCTCTCTCCTACTGTTGTATATTAAAAATATCCCTTTGACGGACGTCGGATGTTGTATATGAATTAAATGTCAGTGTGTTATTTCTCATCATCCAGCTCTGACTAATGTGACTATAAAGAAAGAAATCAACATTTGAGGGAATTTACGAGTTGAGCCCTGGAAGGTCTGACATTTATTTTACACCCCCCCACGATAAACTGGTCACCGTTGTGTTCTTACAGATGCATGACAGATGTTTCTGAACAGGTTAATCTGACAAATCCCAGATTTAAAAAGTTCTATAGATGCTTCATAAAAAAAATATACTCATTCTGTGTGTGTGTGTGTGTGTGTGTATGTGTGTGTGGGTGTGTATGTGTGTATAAAAGCCCCTGGGAAATCAGAGCAGCTATGGTTAGATGGGGCTGTCATAGGAAATCTGCTCGTAGAGTTGGGGAGAGACAATACCTGCAGCAGCGGCCCACCTGACACACACACACACACACACACACACACACACACACACACACACACACACACACACACTTTATTCCAAAAATAAAAATGTGTCTTTGTAAAAACTCAGCTTGTGTTGAATGTTAATGTCTTTTTATTCTTTCTCTCTTATTTATTTTTCCACTTTCCGCCCATGTCTCCTTTCCTCTGTCGTTCCAGATGTGACTCAGAGAACCGTTACCTTGGTAACCCCCTCAGAGGAACGTGTTATTGTAAGTAATCCTGCACCGCACACACACACACACACACACACAGAGGTAATGTGTGCTTTCAGTGTAAATCTGTGTCCCGTGTTTATTATCTTTGCCTCCAAAGATGTTTCCCTGGAAGCAGACAGCACGGACACTGTTCCCTCCTTGGCGGTTAGAGTTTACGTTTACCTGAAGCAAAGTAAACCGACAGAAAATTGTGGCCCTAGCGACGCTCTGATGCTTTTGAACGCCTCCACACACAGATGAACACAAGTCATTGTATCTACAAAAGTATTGCACTTAGTAATACTTGCATTTGGGGGTTTCAGAGGATTAATATCCATCATTGTACCGTGGCTGTATTTGTGTGTTTGTTTGAGGCAGTAAATTCTAAACTCAGTTTGACGTATGACTCAGGTTATAAACCTGTTAGTCACCTGTCGGCCTGTTGGCATTTTCTGATCCTTTTTGCTGTTAACCGTTCAAACACGCTGATTATGACAAGATGTCAAAGATTTTTGGTTCGTGCAGTTCCAGAGTCGACATGCTTCCTTTTACTGAAATACTAAAATCAAAGAAATAACCTTTATGACTATTTTAATAAATGACTATGAACATATTCTGATTCTAAACTTTAACGTCGTGGTAAAGATAAGAGGAAGATTGTGGTCACAGTCTAAAGTCATAAATATCCACGGTACGTACAGACCGGATTTATTCTCCGTGTTCGGCCACTTTCTTCCTAACGTTCCTCAACCTGCCTCCTTGACCTCGTTCCTCAGATCTTACTTCACTAATAACAATATCATGCTTCCCCTGGAAACACTTAGCGTGACCGCAGGTTGTCTGGAAAACACGAACATTGTTTATTCACGTTATTATTCTGTTTGGTGGATTACACTTACCACTCCGGTCTAAGTTCTAAAGACAGAGTTAAACCCAAACTAAAAGAGGTAGCGGAGTGAAAGAGGAAGTTGTTTACCTGCTTCCTGATGCGAGCAGCGATCACACTGACTTCGCTCATTTGCAACAAATTTCTTGTTTTACCTTTAAAGGGCAAGACGGCGGGGAGGAAAGTGAAAACAGATGTTTCGTGGCACACGAGCACATGTTCGCTCACCCTGCATCTCTCTCTCTCGCACACACTCGTACACAAACAGAACCTGCCGTCATGGCTTTTAACATTATAACTGAGGGCCTGTCAGTGTGGATACTCCTCTAACGTGAGTCAGGCTGTCACTGTGTGAATGATGGACGCTCTGAATGATGCAGTAATCAGAGGAGTCACGGCACAGGTTGCACCGGTCACCGCAAATATGTGTTTGATCACAAGAATCATTTCTGTTCTGAGATCAAGACGTTGATTTGACTCTATTGCTGCACAGCTTTTATTTTAAGATTATACTTCTCTACTTTTATATTCCTGTGAAGCACAGAATCTGAAATTGAATCCAGAGAATTCATATCTTGTTATTTAGTCTGCAACACATCCCCACTTACCCCCTTATCCAAAATATCTCACCAACCAAACTTATGACTTGTGACCTATACTGCAGCCAGCCACCAGGGGGCAATCATCTTTGGCTTCACTTTTTTTCAGGAGGTGTCACGTCGTCCATCTTTGTATAAAATCTGTGGTTCCTACCAGACAAAGTTTACGTTCTGTAAATATATTTCTGAAATTGAAAGAAAACTAAATATGAGCACTTTATTACGGCCGTGTTTATTATTGTTAGCATGACAACAACCGTCTAGAGTTCACGTCAGCTTGTGACACATTTGATTTTTTTTAACGTTGAAACACTTGAAGTTGTGAAATGATTGTTTTCACCCTGTCCACTTTGGAGGCACTAGATGGCACCACTGCCTTTATACCCAGTGTTGTGAGGAGCTTTAGATAATTGCACATGCACATAGAGACAGAGATGTAGAAGCACATGTTTTATGTTTTAATGGCTCTTAAGGTCTGCGGGTGACTGGCTCCCTCCACGTCAGCTGCAGTGTGTGTTGGTGTGTGTGTGTGTGTGTGTGTGTGTGTGTGTGTGTGTGTATTTCCCATGTATTTTACTACATCATGTTCTGTCATTAATGTGACATTATCTTTTCTGCTGTCGGTGAAATGGGCCTAGCTTTGTTTGAACAAGAGCAATCACACTCAGACCTACGCACATGGATGCACACACCACGCTCTCTTACACACACACAGACACACACACACACACACACACAGAGCATGTGAGTGTGTATAAATTACTGATTTAAAAGCCATTTGCTTGTGCTTTTCAGAAAGCTGCCATAATTATAGTCCAGGTCAATATTAACCTTAAATATCATTTGACAGAGGGTGATGGATAAAGAAAAGATGGGAGAGGCAGTGTTGTTCTCTGCACCCTCTGCAGGAACCACACGTTAACTGGTTTGTGAGTTTTGAAAAGACAAGGATGGACAATTTAAACTCCCACGAGGTCGTTTACAAAGTGCGTACATGAAGAAAATCCATTTATATGTAAGGACCTAACAACAACACAAACGCGGAGGACATAGTAAATATAAACAAAATGGCAGCCGTCCAAAAGTGAAGCCAAATCATCTGGATCGCCCCCTAGTGGCAAATTAATATCTTTGATGGCGACGTCGTCATCCTAGATATTTTAGCTTTAAGTCTGTGGTTTCAAGATGTCGCAAACATCCAGTAAATCTAAAAACGGCTTCTGGATCCGAACACAAACCTTCAGAGTCTCTGTCCAGGGACGGCAGCTTGTGATGATGGTATTATGAACGCTCTGTGGACCGTCATGGGGAGGAGGTGCGGTCGGCTTAACTTTACTCTTCAGAAGGTCACGACTTCTCAGAGAAGGCCCCCGGAGTAACACAGCAGTGCTCAGTGTATATAACACGACACTTTGAAAGGTACATCTCACAGCCTGCTCTTCGGATTTATTCCTTCCATGTGGCAGCGTCTGACGGCTCGTCTGTCTCCAGAGAAGCAAACCTCACACTAAACACTCAGGACTCCTAGAGTCCATGGATAGAGGTTAAGCACCCGGCACAGACTCTTTTTAAGTTGAACAAAAAGCCATTATACAAACCAAACAGCCAGTCGAGGTTGAACAGCTGAATGTAATAAGTCCAGCACCTTAGACATCTGCTCTGAATCTCTCGTTTGGTAGCGTGCTCCTCTCTCTCTCTCTCTGTTCTTTTAGCTGTTTGCATGGAGGTGCAATGTCAAGGTCAGATGTGAAGCAGACTCGTGACTTCTCCTGTGGAAGGTCGGAGGCGTCAGATGTTTCAGAACGAGGGGTCGCACATGCTACATTTAGCAGAACAATATTTTGCCAAGGAACAGACGTCACTTATTCACGGCACAAATTTGTCGACCAATGCCACGAAACAACAAACTCAAATAACAATTACAAGAGTATCGTGTCCCGTGAAAGACTCATGTCACCTATTTATCAGTTGGATATTTGTTTCTGTCCGTTCTATAATAATACTTAGCTGTCTGTGTTTTCCTACATCACAGACACATAAACTACTTTTGATCCTTCTAATCCCCACGGACAGTTTTTATTTGTCAGCAGGATTTCACTGTTGTGTTCGGCCTCTTTGCTCATAGACAGAAAAAAGAAACTTTATCATCCAACGTTTGTTGTCTTGTCATTTTGACGTAATGTACCAGTGCAGATCTACATCCAAACACAGAAAGTTGTTCTTCTCCATATTAACAAGCGGCAGTCAGAAACTCAATTTGATGAAATGTTTTCATCAGGCTGATAAATGTGAGCGTGGAGATATTGACAGCAGTGTTCCTCATCCTCGCCGAGGACGCAGCGCGGGGAGTGATGCTCTGGTTGAGTTAACACTGTCATATTGAACCACCAGTCAATTGATGGAAAAGCAACTTTGCTATTTAATGAGTTCGCCCCCAGTCAGGCTTGCATTTATGAGCAGGCATCACCAGGACAACGCTTTAATAAACCGCTGTCATACTCCATCACAGTCAGCTACAAGGGGACGCCTAATTAGGGACGGCCACCAAGTGCCCCGTCACTTCTGCTGGAAAGACCAGCAGTCAGTGGAATTATCAGCCTCACACCAGTCGGGCTGCAGTCGTCGCAGCCTGCTGCCCCCAGGGCTGCTGGGAAAGCTTAGTCAGGCCAAAGGAAAGTGGCTCCGATATTTACTGACAGCCTCACAATCCCAATTAAAGGACAATTAGCGGTGGACGGCACGAATCGGAGGAAAAACACAGAGTGAGCCTTGTTGCAGATTCAGAGCTCAAAGTGGTCGTACAGCAGTAATCAGCAGTCGGCAGCGTTCACGTCCTCGGGCCGTTCATTAGACCTCGATGCTTCAGTCCAGCACGCCTCCATGTTTGTTGACAGGCACTCTGTCTGGACGCCTATCTCAAGTGGATTAATTGGTCCTATGAGGCCGACAAGCTCAAATCTTAGAGTTTACTGTTGACAGATTTGTATTAAAAATGAAATATTCTGACTGATCTTGGATCAGTTTCACTTTCAGAGTTGTTGTGTGCAGCTCTGTTCTCCGCTACCTTAAAATACTTATTGATTTTCACGTGTTTTTCCGACTTTTCACGGACGTAGGATCAGTAGAGACACTGGTGATCATTATGTGAATCCATCCCTCAAACCAATTGAGTTGAAGCTCATATAAATCGAGGGCAGCTGACCCCGTGCATACATTACCTCCAGGTTTACCTTGACCTCCAGTCGGGTCTGGTATTAAATCGGCGCTGTCCTTGTGTTTACTGCCGCGGTTCCGACGCGTTTTCTCGGCGAGTTGGCGGCGCAGCGTCTGGCCCGCGCTCCGTCAGGCAGCTGTTGCAAATGGGAAATAATGAGTTGTTAACAAGCATTAAATGAAACATCAGCGAGAGATTCAGACACACTGACATTGTAGGAGAGTTCACGCTTGTTTTTCGATTTCTATTCGAGAAACAGGCCGATATCAGATTATGTTCCGGGTGAGGGGCTTTCTCTTCTGCCTTCTCACTCCCCATCA